TTTTTAAAGTTTTAAAGTGTATTTAAACTACAAAAAAAGGGGATTGTTGGTTAAACAATCAAAGAAATTATAACCTCACAATATTACTTGTTAAGAGGCCTAGAGTTGAGTTTTAATCAATACTCTGAATTCCAAAGGAGGAATTGAGGAAGAGTGAATTGTTTTTTAGACAATAGATCACAAGGAGTTTGTCCAAAAAGTTCTTTTGGATGAGTTGAGGATTCCTGGGCAAATTCTAGAGCAATACTTCTGCAACAGAAAGTAAGAAAATGGCCAATTTTAAAGGAATAAGGAGCTGGGATCTTTTAAGGGCAAATGCTACAGGTTAAGGCTGAAGGTATCAGTAAAAGAGGAGCTCTGTTTCGTGGTTGGAATGCTAGGGTTGATAAGAGAAATGGTTGGAAATGCTGGCTTCAGGTATATAGTAGTATATATGGTGAAGTGGGTGAATTTCTGAGGTTTAAGCACTCAATAAAGGAGTCCTTATATAGCCACACACCTGAGGGTGGCTTACAACACACTTTTGCACAATGACACGGATGCTTTGGGCTTGTTTGGCTGGGTGGAAGCCATGCCCAAGGCCTTGGTTATCAGTATCCCAAAGGCTGAAACAGTTGTAACTGTAACCACGGGTACAGCTACCCAGTCAGGAAGTAATGATGCAATGCCAAGTTATTGCTAGGGTTCTATATTCCCAAAGGAGACTTTTTTTTTCGTCTCCAATCCATTTTGGAGGGATTTGGTTGAGGCAGTCTGATATGTACTGGCTGAGAACAGGTTAAACTACTTGGGCCAGATTGAAATGGGCCAATTCTCAACCCTGTTGATTTCAAACTGGACCAGGGTTGTTCTGGTGGATGGCTGATGTAAGAGAATATTCTGAGTTTGCTCAGAAAGGTTATTAAGGTTAGGGATAAGCAAAACAGGTTACATGACCAAGTGGCTGGTCAGGGTTCAGAATATGTGGTCTAAACTGGTTACTTGGTTATAGTTACTGAACTACAAGGTTGTACATGTTTTACAAGCCTTGGAACCTTGTTTATCTTGAGTTCGCATCCAATGAACTTTGTTTATGTCATCAGCTGATTTAGTTCTGTAACTTTAAATGTCTGTAACTCTTTAGTTATTGATTATTTTACAGAATTCTTTGTTTTTTTGAGTATGTAGTTACACAGTGGTATGTAACTACATGAATTTTGTTTTTAATTTTCAAATTAAAGTAAAAAAAATTATTTTTATTTTTAAAGGCCTTTGTGGTCATTTGCAGGCTTTTGACCATATACACTTTTTTATGTAGATTTTTATGCTTAATATTAATTTATTATTTATGACATTTTTTCTTGGGCTAGTCTTGAGACTTGACTATGAGTTGTAATTGTTATTTTTATTATTTTAAATTTTGAGGCCTATGGGTATGTATATACCTCAAGGCTGACAAATGCCCAAAATCTGTGGATGGTGGATTAATGTGAGACGACCTGGATGTTGATCAGAGAGTAAGAAGCATACCCCGTACTGGATTGGCCGCCCAAATTGAAACATTTACGACAGATGCTTTTGGCATGTTCTGATTTCACAAGTCCGATAGTACACAAGTCAGTGCTCTTCAATGTGATCGACTTCCTGAAGTTGTAAGAGATGGACAAGATCAAGCATCACTCACCTTGATGACTGAAGAGGAATTAAAGTTGTACAAATATTCAATTTTTAGAGTTGAATTAGTGGTGTGAAGAGGTTTCTTTGAATTTTTTTGGCAGTACATCCAACAGTGGGCCAGTTACACTAACCGTAGTGTTAGCTTTTTAAGCTACGCTACACAAAAGTTACTGTTAGCGGGAATTTTTGGCCTACTAACACTACAGGATTTTTGAAAAAACAAAAAAAAACTTTAGCGTAGTGTTAGCTACCTTTAAAAAGGAACAAATAACGCTACCAAAAATCCTGTTAGTGATATTTTAGTGGTGTTATTGGGTGATCCCACTACACTACATGTTAGTGTAACTTTTTGCAAAGTTACACTAACAGTTAGCGTAGTGGTACCCTCAGTTAAACTAACTGTTAGCGTAACTGGTGAAAAAAATTACACTAACTGTTAGCGTAACTGATTAAAAGCTACATGACCACATGAATAGCATTAGTCTACCCTGAAGACAGTGCCTGATTGGGGGTCCTACATCCAGATCCCCTTAATTGATCATCATTTTTTTTCAGTTAGTAATGGTGGCCACTCAATTTTAGCCCCATGCCAATTCTTAACACTTACTTGTAAGACCACATTCCCCTGTCAGACTACCTTGAGATTATGGGTTCAATTCCCCCTCAGATCATACTTTACTGGGTTCCATTCCCACTCTTGTTCAATTTCCACTTTCACATCATGTAGCAAGGGGGGAGGGGGGGGGGGTTGAGGTGTAACCATGATGTATCCCCAGAGTGTGGTGGAGCTGTTGGCATGAACCATGGCAACTACCACCCAACTAAACTTACAGCCACAAGGGTCTGTAGCAAATCTCACCAGGAACATCCTCCGTTTGTTTGTCTTTACATCTTATGCTGTTCATTTTCTGCGGGATTGTGTGTGATCATAGGATATTGAAAATCATCACTATGGACCTTGGCTGTATCAGTTATAGGGACAGTTCACACAACTTGTCCATTGAAAACAGAAAGCAGAGGAAGAGGTTTCAAGAGCATAAATTCTCACTTGACATGTCAATTTCTCTAATTGATGATTTACACTACACTACATGTGTAGTGTAACTTCTACCGTAGTGTAGCGTAACTAGGCATGTAGTGTAGTGTAGCGTAGCTTAATTTGGTAAAAGTTACACTAAATGTTAGCTTTAAATCAGTTACACTATCTGACAGGCAAAATTTTGTTAGCGCAAAAAAAGTTACACTAACTGTTAGTTTAGCTGAGATTATTTGAAGCTAACACTACCAAAAAATTTGAGAGAAAAATTTACACTACACTATTGATGGCTCAGTAACCACGATCCAATCTCATTCATCGAACTAAGGCAGGATCATGTCTTTGACCGACAAACACAACACACCAGCTTCCAATGGTGTCCCTATCTTGGATGGTTTGAATTACACAAATTGGCATTCTCACATGTTCATCTATCTACGCGGGAAGAAACTCTGGAAGGTCTGCATGATTCCAATCTCCGAAGATGCTAGCGAGGAGGAGAAGACTGCCTACGAGGAGGCCGGTGATAAAGCCATTTCCATCATCACATCACACATAAATCATCGATGCTACAATGAAGTGGTAAATTCTCTTACCGATTCCAAACCCATTCTCCTGTGGAAGAAAATCGCCTCGCAGTACGCCTCTCACTCAGTTATTAACCGCGGACGCGTCTTCATGGGCTGGTCCGCCGAGGTATACAAGGGGAATCTTCAGGAATACATTGATCGCACAAGAGCTCATCTTCTCGATATCGATGCGGTTGGCATCACTCTTCCACTCGACATCATCTCTTATCTTGTTCTAGGGAAACTCATGCATGACGACAAGCTAGACAAAATCATTGATAATTGTGTTATGTCTGAAGATTGTACTTCTTCTCCTTATTTGGTTCTAGATGCTCTTCAAACCTGGTTGACTCATAAGGGATCGAAGAAAGAACCCAAACAAAGCACCGCTCTTGTATCTACCTCGGTTCCAACCAATGGAAAGTTTCCGTTCAAGATCGTTCACCTTTGCGCCAATAACAATCATAATCCGGAAGCTACTACGCATGTTGAGTCAAGATGTTACAAAAAATATCCTCACTTGCGTCCGAGTTACTCTGGAGGGTCCCGGCAACCTAAAAAGACTCCAAACGCTAGTGCGAGCTTTGCTCATGCGTCTCTTTTTGTATCATACATTTCAAGTCAACATGGTGAAGGGATTGTCATTGACTCTGGGGCTTTTCACCATATGCTTCGTAATCGCGCCGTGTTCTCATCTTTCACAGCCGAGAAGATAATTATCAAGACCGGCAATCCGGATGCACCCTTAATTGCGTCTGGACACAGTACGGCTGAAATATTCACTAAGGGAAGGATTGTGAAGTTGGAAGAGTGTGTTCTCGTACCCAAAATTTCCCAACAGTTAATCTTGCTTGTTAGGTTGGTCAGAACATCGGTAAAAATCACCAAAATGTCACAAACCTTTGACATCTCGGATGATACTGGTTCAATGTTCTCTGGAGAGATTGTCGATAATCTTCTTCACTCTCAATACACTCAATGCCCAAAGGCTTTCATCAATCTTGGAGATACCGATCACGGGTTATGGCATCGACGTCTTGGTCATCCATCTGATCAAGTTATGAAGACAATGGGTTTACCTTGCTCCAACACCAAATTGTTGTTTGAGGTATGTACTTGTTCAAAAATGACACTTATTCCTTTTTTGGGTCATTTTTCCTCTACCCAATCTCCTCTTCAACGATTGCATATGGATTTGGTTGGACCCATAACTCCACCTTCAATCTCTGGCTTCAAGTATTTTATGACAATTGTGGATCAATACTCATCATTTAAATTTGTACGGTTTCTAAAGGCTAAATCCGACGCTTTTCAAGAGTTTGAGTGGTTCGCAAACCTGGTTGAAAATCTTCAAGGATCCTCAATTCAGGAAATTGTTTCGGATCAAGGGGGGGAATTTGTCAACGAACGTTTCCACCAATTCTCATCAAGAAAGGGAATCCTTCAAACTTTCTCTCCGGCGGAAACCCCTGAGTTGAACGGATTTGCCGAACGTGCA